TCGTGGCCCCACCTACAGATTTCCAGGCCCCAGCAAGGTTGTTTACTGGGAAGTAGCCTACATATGAGCAGGCCCTTCTTCCCCACAATCACAACATTCCCCCTTCACGTGAAGGGAACTAACGTGGCATTGCCCTAGCAGTCTGAATTTGGTTTTGGTTTCTTTGCCGAACCATAAGGTTGTTCAGTACTATACCTGCCCGTTAGAAACAACCAACCAAAAATGTATCCTGAAAGCTAAGCTTTCAGGATGTAAAGTGCATACAGCTAACATTTCTGCCATTTCACTTTGTACAACGTGCACAGTTTAGTCTCTTATTTCATGCAATCACAATTTAAATGTTTAACCAAATTAAACCCAATCCACTGGAATGTGGTATGCACTGATAGAACAGTGTTACAGTAAGGAAGGTCTAATGTCTTTTTAAAAATACAAGATAGATTTTCTCACCTGAAAGAAACTGGTTTTTACTTTAGAACACTACTTTTTAAGAAGCTTCCTTTTACATGAAGCAACCATGATCAAATTCCCTAGTTTTCAATATGCATGCCCTGGAGGTGTTTCTCACGGAACTCCTAAGAAGCCTGACAGGGCCGGTCCTACCATTAGACATAGTAAGGTGGCTGCCTCAGGTGGCAAATATTGAGGGGGAGGTAGCAGTGGGTGTTATGTTGGAAAACAGAGCTGCATGTGCCACACAGGCCTTGCCCTGCACTATCTAAGCTAGCCTACTGCCCTCATATATGGCGGAGGAAGCCATCTAACAATATTTTAAATTGATTGCCCCACCAATACACACACACATCACCCAAGTATTCCTATGGTATATTAAACCAGGTTGCATGAGAAGCTCTTTCTATAAACAATTCTGGCTCCTACACTAGCTTAACACTGAACCCTGTCAACAGAAGTCCTATGCAAGGACTTTCCCCCTCTCCACCCCAGTGCCCCCCTAAAGCTGGCTCAGAGGGGAGTCAGCAGAACCCCCAGAACAGTGTATGGGGAGGGGAAATCAGACATAACTGTTCCACAAATGCAACACTGAATTCCACCCATTTTTTAACGTACTTGTCAAACACAGAAAGCCCTGGTTTCACACCATGGAACAGGCCAATGGTTTTCAATATTAGTGCAAGACCCTTACTCCCAAAGCAGACCCAGAGAATAAAAATTATTCAGGCACCGGGTGATGAGCACATAACATTGGCATAGAAACATCTGTGTTTCTAAAAGTCTCTGCAGGGCACAGGTAGAAATCTGACGCTTGCTCTTTGAAGGTAGATGCTGTTTTCCAAAAACAAACTCTGTAGCCAAGGATGAATCAGGGCAGGGGAAACCCCCACTTGGCCTCAGCCACACCTCTATTCCCTACCTAGCTCCTGCATCTCTTGCCAGGTGAAGCAGAAGTCTCGTTACCCTCCTGACACTAGACTGACCCAGCAGAATCTCTTATATTTATTTAGTTATTTCCGAAAACCCTGGCCTCTCCTTCAAATCCTTGGAAAGGACTTGACAGATAAGGAAGCTAGGTGTGTTTCACAAGCATTCAAGGGCAAGCACACCTTGCCAAAAGCTGAGGCAACAACCAAATAGACACAGAAAGGAACTCCTCAGCTGTACTTGATTCCATACAAATAGTAAATGGCTAAATTCACATCAGGTGTTGAGTGGGTGGCACAGAACACAGTTCAGCTAAAACTGTTAAGGGCTGGGTTGGATTTGTTTAGTGTTTTCTCTTAATTTCTAAATTATGCTTCCTTCCCCCTCCCCCAGTACAACCACAGACAAAAAGCATTTGTGAGGAGGAAAGAGACGGGAACACCTTTGGGGCAGTTGGGTATTTTGTTCCCAAAACCAAGTCAACTGTTCATTTAGGCTCATAGCCTGCTTTTCACTCCCCCTCAAGGCACACACACTTGCCAAGAAATGCCTTAAAGTGGAGTTGAAGGATGAGGAAGTGAAAAGCAAGACACTTAATGGAGAAATCTCACCCTTCTATTAATACTACTTCACCCTAGGGAAGTCACTGAGGATTTTACAGGCTTCGCTTAAACCTCTAATTTCTAATACATGTTTAGCTCCTACTATGTATTTTAATTACCAAATAGCTTTATTTTTATCATTGGCTTTTTGGTTTTTGCTATTTTGCTGCTGGTTTTTGTGAACCACCTTGGTATTTCTTTTTGAAATGAATGCAGGAGATAAATAACAGTAATAACAACAGTATTAATATAGGTTTCCCAAAGGCCTAGCTGCCCAAACATTCCTTGAGACCTTGCAAGGATGGGTCAAACAGATTTCCACTCAAATCCCTGGGCAGTCTTGCAGTACACTGGGGTCCTTAGAAAATCTGTACACTTATAAGGCAAGCACAAAATGTATAAATTTAAAATGCTTTGATTCCATCAATACAGACGGATTGCAACCCAATTCTTCAACCCTCAGTGCCTTCTGCCCTACTAATCCAGTAGAAGACCAGGGATGGACCATCCAAGAATGGAGGTCTTCTGGAATCCTGACTAGAACCATATAGGCCCCATTAACATGCCGTGTTAAACCATAGTTTAGCATGAAATAAACTATGGATTTACATGAGTGAGCAATGTCCTGGTGCACACTGCTCACAAAGACAATGCTTCACACTTTTCTTCAACATGCCAGAGAGGAAACAAACTGTTACATGAGAGCCACCACTTGCATTTCTTTTGTGTCCTAACAAGCCACAGTGGTAAGCCAAGGTGGGTTGTTGACTTACCACAGCAGTTTGTGAGGAGACAAACAAGCCACAAGTGCTACCTTGCATGTAACAACAAGCCAATCTCTGGTTTGTAGTCTTCATCCCCCCTAGGAGAAACACACGTGTTCATTTTAAACCATCATTTAAATGATGGTTTACAGCAAGCCAGACTAGAAACTCGTCTTAAGAGTCCACATAAGGGGCATTATAGGCCCCCAAAAAGATTAGCCATCATTTTTAAGAGTCATGCACACCCTAATACCCCCAGTAATAATTTATTCCAGATTGACAATCACTAAATAGTTTATTGTCTCACTTTCCCATACAAATTATCTGCTGTTGCAGAATGTAACTTAATTTTGTGCTGTTAAGGAGATCTTTCTTGGTATGTTAAAATTCACACTCAGCTATGCATGGTTACCACTTTTAATAAGCTACAGTGGTGCCCCGCAACACGAATGCCTCGCAAGACGAAAAACTCGCTAGACGAAAGGGTTTTCCGTTTTTTGAGTCATTCCGCAAGACGAATTTCCCTATGGGCTTGCTTCGCAAGACGAAACGTCTTGCGAGTTCTTGCGAGTTTGTTTCCTTTTTCTTAAAGCCGCTAAGCCGTTAATAGCCGCTAAGCCGCTAATAGCCGTGCTTCGCAAGACGAAGAGACTCGCGGAACGGATTAATTTCATCTTGCGAGGCACCACTGTACCTGGAGAGACCAATCCATAGAAAAGGGCAGATTTGTTCTCCACTGCCCCAGAGAGCAGGACTAGGTCTAACGGTTTAGGTTACCAGATGGCCTACAAGACATTCTCCCAACTCTATTCTTCCCAATACATGCAAAAGACTGGAATTAATTCAAGTAGTGACATTACTATAATAGCATAGGATTGCAAATCAGCCTAGAGTATTTTGACACCCCAGTTCTACTTGCAGGTTAAGCACTACTTATTTCAGTGGATTCACGTGCACATATATTTATAAAATGTGCTCCAGATTGCACACCAAACAAAATCAACCCAATAGAAAGAAATAGCTATAGATCTTGGCCCATAAGGCATTCTTAAATTCATAACTTATTGCAGATCTGACCAGTCCTTCAAACTTCTTAGGTGCAAAATCATTGAGTGTATCTGTTTATGTACTAATTAAATCCAGCTAACTTGTGAAAGCACGGTTTAAGATTACTGATCTTTAACACAGGTGAAAAGGGACAGCCAACTTGTTTCTTTGTAAAAGGGGGTGAGAAGTTACGATTCCTGTTACATTTATTAAGAACATCTAATTCAAATTCAGAGCAAAAGGTGGAGCTGAACATTAGCTACACAATGCAACCGATAACCTTATCATGATAAACTAAAATGCCAAAGGAAAGCAAGTCAGCTTTCGATCTCCTCAGAATTCTTCAGGGTGGATATTAGACAAAACAAAGAGGGAGGAAGAGGGCAGATGAATGATGGAAAATCTTCAAAATCTGCATTATCCAACAAACTTACTTAAGATGAAGTACATGAGGCATTCTTCAGACTTAATTCGTTAACATGCAGGGAATAAAACAGATTCCAAGATGCAGCTACAGGGACACACAGAATGATCATGCCCCCCCCCTTTGAGGGTATGAAAAGTAGCAATTACCTGCATCTGCTCCCATCACTAAGCAGAATGTGCATGTCCCTTGGAAGGCAGAGAACAGAAGTAAAGATAAACAAGATAGTCCTTACGTTAACAATGCTGGAGGTTACTTTTTGTGCACTGGGGGGGGGGGAAGAGTCAAGAGAGGCCGAACTGGGTAGTATTACCTAGTGGTTGGAGGGCAGAGGCCAACACAAGATTAAGACCCTGAGACTTTTCCCCATCATGCCCAGCTTCTCCTTCCTTTTGTGTTGGGGGGGGGGGTGAAGAGATTTAATCGGCCTGAAGAAGATCTCCGAAGAACAGGAAAGCTTGCTAATTACTTTGACATTTTAGTTGAGCCTAATAAAAGCTGCTTCGTTTTTACTTTTTGGATTTATTTTTGCTAAAAGGTTTTTTAAATTTTAAAAAAAACCTGCAACTTCTTATACATAGGCACAAGAGGTGAAGGCTCCAGTACCCGTTAACAGCAATTGAGAAGAAAGAATTTCAGCTTTCATGACAACCTACACCTGCCAAAATCCCTTCCTCTGCAGTACTATTAAAGGTACCAAAGCCTTCTCCTCTTTTGCACCTGGCAACCCTGTGTATGCAGATATCATAACCTGCTAGGAAAGGATTATACAGAAGCTCATACCTGAAGAACAGAGAGGCTTGTTTGCCCAGAAAGGCTGAGTTTCTCTTGCTCAGATGGATATGCATTGAACCTGTGCTCGTAGAGCCACTCCCGGAGAATCTTCACAGACTCCTTGGGAAGGTTGCCCCTTCGTTTTCTCTTGCCGGGCTGCAACGGATCCTGAGATACGCTCCCATCATCCTCCCCAAAGTCACTATCCGACATGGTGGAACTGCTGGCAGATCTGTCTTGGTTCAAGCCTGGGATGTGGGAAACAATGCAAGACATAATGGGTCACAGGTGGAATTGCACAGGTGTGAAAGAGCTGCAAGAAGGCAGGTTGTGTTCAACAGTCACTGCAGGTGTACCTAACAAGGTCCTTCACTAATTGCATCTTGCCCATCTTCCTTTTCACAATTGTGTAGCACACAAAAGCTGCCCTTTTGCACTGAGGCAGAAGATGGTCAACTGTGCAAAGGCCATTTGACTCTCCAAAGGATGCTGGGTTCCAACTCTTGTCACTCCTGACCACTGACTACTCAAATTACAAGAAAGGAGATTCCAACTAAACAGACAGTGGAACGGTCTCCCTAGGGAGCTTCTCGACTCTCCTTGCATGGAGGTTTTTAAGCAGAGGTTAGATGGCCATCTCTCATTGATGCTTTAGCAGAGATTCCTGCATTGCAGAAGGTTGGACTAGATGACCCTTGGGGTCTGTTCCAACTCTACAATTCTATGATTGTTTCACTATGCAGCCTGGGGTGATGGGAGCAATAATCAAACCACAACAACTGGAGGTTCCTCATCCGTACTCTGCACTATGGTCAAATTCAAAGTGGTGCTTGGCATTCAACTCTACAGAGTTGTGTTCTACATGCTCTACAGAGCTACAATATTTTAAAGTTAGTTATGAAGCTGTGCCATAAGCTCTATAGAAGGAGACTGCTGGTATTAAAATCACAGAACTATAGAGTTCTTGTAAAGAACATTAATGACGCTGTGTTTTCATTAGGAAACCCAGAACTATTTTTTCCTAATATGGCTCCTTTCTTTGCTGTGAAACTCCTGACACTTCTAACAATTTTGCCCAGTTCTGACAAAGAGGTATTTTTATGGCTTTCCCTTCCAAATGAAAAAAAAAAATGGTTTGGACCTCGATCCCCCAACCCACACCAGAATGATTGTATTTTAAAAAACCAAACTAAAATTCATTCATCAATATGTTTTTGAGCCAACTCCAATACATAATAATAATAATAAATTTTATTTATATCCCGCCCTCCCCAGCCTTAGCCGGGCTCAGGGCGGCTAACAACAATAAAACAGTACAAAAGTACAGCATAAACAACACTCTAAAATCATTCTTTCTAAAATTAATTAAAAGCGCATTGTGCAAAATGTTAGGAAATTAAGATGCATTTTACTTTGCAGGGGAATCAGACTGAAAAAGCAAGTGTCCACTATTAGGAAAGTCTCCCAGGAGGCTGAAGCCTTACAGCTCTTTAAAGTTTCTTCTCTCCAAAGCCCTTTACATGTAGAGACTTTTCCCCCCTACATTCCCCCCAAAAAGGGGGGGAGGGAGGACGACAGAGGTAACATATATAAAACTGGTGGGCCAAGCAGTCGTCAAGACTTCCAAGTTTGCTTAAGGTTAGCCCTTTTCCAGACACGCGGTCGAGTTTGTTTGGAGGGAGGCACTCGGAGATCAACACGTCCGCATCCACCCCCAGCAAGAGCGCACACGCAGAAAAACGCCAGGCAAATTCAAGTGCATTGAAATGCAAGCGTGCATTCGCTTCTCCTCTACGCGCGCCCCCCACCCGCGAGGAAGAGAAAAGGGCAAAACTTTGTGCCTGTTTTAAAAAAAAAAAAAAGCTGCAAAAGCAAATGGATCCTCGTCCTCCTATTCCTCCAGGCAACGCCGAGTGCAGAAGGGCTCAGGGGGAGCTGCTGGCTATGTGAGGGAGTCTCTCTCTCCTGTTTCAAGTCTGCATCTCATCAGGGATGGAGAAGGAGGAGGAGCAGCAATTTTTTTTTTAATGCTGCCGTTTCCTCCTGGCCCTGAACTGCCCACACCGCCAGCTGCACATGGGAACGACTAAATCCAGCCCAGAGCGAAATAAATAAAATAAATAAAATGCAAAAAATTCAGGAAGGTCGGTGGAGAGTCAGGCTAAAAGCACGGGTTGTTTTTGGTTTGCTTTGGGGTTTTTTTTTTTTTTGGTCGGCTACGTTTGCCCCGCGTATCGTCCACTTTATCAAAACACCCACCCACCCCAAACCTCAAAATGCAAGCAAAAGGAAGTTAAAATAGCAACAAGCTGCCTCCTCGGCCGTGTCCATTCCTACACAAAGAGAATGCAATTGGAAATAGATCCGAACCGGGGCGGAAAAGGGGGAGGGAGGAAAAAAGGCAGATCAAACATTTCATTTTCTTCCGTTTGAATTCAAGCGAGACAAATCACGTGTCAGAAGTTTGCTACTTAGTAAAGCAGCAATTAAAATACATACACACACAACACACGAAAATACCTCGCGGATTACTCCCACCGGCGCTGGTTTGATAATGAACTCAGGTCTGGAGTTTCAAAAGGAAAAGTAACGTGGGAGAGGGAAGCTAACCTCGCTTCAACCCCCCACCCCCGGGCCAACCTTTCTTTAAATCCCTTCCATCCCACTTCACACAAAACAAGCCTGGACTCCATGTTTTCTGCCAGTTGCATCGCCGCTCTCACCCCCAAAACCACCGCCTCCGAATCCCTTCCATGGGGGGGGGGACCAAGAGGCAAGGTCGAAATAAGCAGAGACCTCCTCTCCTCCCCACCCCCCGAAAAAAAGAGGGGTCCCCAGCACCCAAGGGCCGAAAGCAATCGGAAGACGAGAAACGCTCTCGCAAAAAAAAGTTTCTCTTGTGTCTCTTTCCCTGAGTGACAGATGCCTAGACAGAGTTCTCTTTGTTCCAAAAGAAACAGGAACTCGCGCCCCCCCCCATAGCACGCGTTACCCCGGCTTTGCTCCAAACAAATCCACCCCCTCCCCCCAAAAGCTGTCATTTTACAAGCAACTGAAATCAGGTTTTGCTTTTGTTTTTTTCAAGAGAAACCTAAATTTGCAGAGTCCAAAATCTCGCAAGGGGTTTGTTTCTTTGCGGGTGGGGGGGGAGGCAGATGTGGGGAGGAGTTTGCAAAAGAAAAAAAATTGGGAAAGTTGCCATTTTGGGATCAAGAGGGAACAGAAGCATGTAAAAGTAAAAGAAAGCAGCTTCGGGAGGAGAAACCTTCGAAATCTTTTTTTTTCCTTAAAGGTTTGTGTTTGTTTCCTTTAAAGAAAGCCGGACGGTGGCGGGGGAGGGGCAACAGAAGACCCTTCATTCAGAGAGAAAAGGCAGGAAAGAAGTTGGATCTCTCGCGCAATGTTGCATTGAACGTTACCGAACAAAAGATCCTCTTCCCCGACTCCCTCGCCTCTCGCTCGCTTTTGCATAGCTGAGTGCCTGGAAGGCATTTCTCGTCCGCCGCCCCCCCCCCCCGCTCCTCGTTCCTCGTGGTGCTTTTTTTGTCCCTCTTCTCTCCCACCCACTGGACTTTTTTTTTTTTGCAAAGTTGAAGAGTTTTTGCAAACACCGATCGGATACTCTCCGTGCACGCACACACCACCCGGTTCTCCACGAGGGCGCTCCATTCTCTGGACGCCCACGAAAACTCTTTCCTCCTCCTCCTCCACCGCCGCCCCCCTCTCCTGCCTGCGGTTTGCCTCTGAGAAAACAGACAGCGGTTTTGCAAAGGGGGGAAAAACCAAACCCCCGAGCCCCCTTTGCAAGTGCTTCCAGTCTTCAGAATGCCCCACACGCTTTTGCAAAAATAATGAGAACTCCAAAGTTTTGCCGAGCAAAAAGAAGGGGGGGAGATTATGCACCCCGAGCAACTTCCCAGACTTACTTTTCCCGGTCGGTTTCATTTTCTTCCTCTCGCAGCGTCTCCCACCCGCCCCTTTCAAGCTCCTGGCTCCGCTCCCGGCGGTGTTTCAATCCACGCCTTGGCAAGAAAAGGGAGCGTTGACGCAGCTGGTGGTGGATCCTTGCCGGACGCAGCGATGGGCACTTCTCTTTGTGTGCGCGCGCGGCGGCCGCTCAAGAGGAGGGGTCTGGGCGCTGCTCAAAGTGCCTTTAATACCTAACCTGCCACACGGTCTGACAGCTCGCGAGGGAAACTACCTCTGCGCTGACGTCAGATCCCCGCTCCCAGGGTCCGCTCCTCCGCTCTGCTCATCCATCCAGCCCAGTCCGCCCTTAAAGGAAGGCTCTGCGCTCGCCTCCCTCCCTCCCCCACCCACCCACCAAGATAATTTGAAAAGGTGGGGGAGGGGGCACAGGCGGAAGGTGGGTGGTACCAGCCGGGACGAAAACAAAACAAAATTACAACTCCCGGAAAAAAAGGGGCAACTTGCAGAACAGAGAAACTTCTGTTTTCAAATAAAACTCCAGTGAAACTTTTAAAGGACTTTCCCGAAAAGATAAGAAAAAGCCCACGCTTGCATGCCACTGTTTGCTTTTATTAACACTCTTTGGGGAGGGGGAGTTCTGATCAAAGACCTATAACAAAATCAGCATTTTCTTCATTAAATGAACAAGAAAATCTAATCTCGTTTACGGTGTTCAGTTGCTGAGATTGGGGGGAAAACAACGTTATGGTTGCAACATTTAATTTTTAAAGTTGCCATCCCTTAGTTCCAAGGCTGCAATCCTGCATAACAGAGACTCTTGGCACCTTAATCCTATACACGCTTACCTATGAGTAAATCCCACTGAAATCAGTGGGGCTTACTTCTGAGTAGGCATGCATAGGCTCGCACAGTGCAGATGGAATCCTCTGCACGTTTACCTGGGAGTAAGCCCCATTTAGAACAATTGGATTTAATTCTGAGTAGACATGCAGAGGACTGCACTGTTCATTCCTGATTTTAATTCCAGTAACTAGGTAAGACAGGCTCTGATTCAATAACAACAAAAAGCAATACTAGAATGCTTCTGCGGAAACAGCATCACCTACCTCACAGGGTTGTTGTGGGGATTAAATGAGGGCGGGGGAGAAGCATTGTATGCCCCCTTGCACTCTTTGGTGAAAAAAGTGGGATATAAATGCAATAAATAAATAATCAATTTTTTTTAAAAAAAATGCATTCATAAACAACACCAACTAAACAAAAGGACAAATTTTAAAAGCGAAATAATTATGGCCCCTGCTGCTAAGACATACCATAGCTACAATCTAGTGCACAGTGATGCTGACCCCTTGAAATGTTTACTGTGCCACAGAATTCCAAAGGACTTCCTAGGATGTAAGTAGACTTGGGACTGTAGCCTTAAGTTCAATTGAAAGCAATGGGGCTTAAAAAACATATCTAATTCTGCAATACATCATGGAGCCTGTGTGTGAAATATTAGCAGGTGCCAAAAGGGGTTAAGTTCACCTGCTTCAAACCTCCTCCTGCCAAAATTGTTTTCCATTGTTGCTTATTAAATGCATTTTGAGGTTTTGTTTTAACTAGGTTTTTTTAATCAATGGTATTTAGGCCTTCACTGTCATCTATCTATAGCTATATATCTGTTTGCATTTGTATTCTACCTTCCTCCAAGGAGATGGAGTGGTCAAACTTCACAATTGTTGTGATAGGTCAGACTGCAAATTAGTGAAACCAGCATGGGATTGTCATCCACCAATCAGAATGCAGTCCCCAGCCAAGTAAATGTAACAAGCAAATAGAAAGAGAACCTATCCAGTTGACAAACACCACATGTACACTATAAGAAAGAAAATAAGTTTCACACACCCCTCCTCTCCCCGCCTTTTTTCCTTTTCTTTCCTGCCCTTATACTGTACTCAACACTAATCTCTCACAACAAATGTAACCGATCTGTACGTTTGTATCAGTTATTAGAATTAAAAATCAGGCTAGCAATCGTTTGGAGAAAAAGGGACTCAAGTTCTGAAAAAGGTTCCTGTGTGTCTTAAAAGTTTGCACCCTGCATTTTGAAAAGACATGCAGACTCAGTTTATACTTGTTTACCCAGAAGTAAGCCTGACTGAGTTTAGCGGTCCTTATTCCCAGCTCAGAGTTCAGCCTCTCATGTGCGATCTCATGCATGCTCACTTGCCATGATATGTGTGTGCGTGCGTGTGAATTCTAGTTACTTGCTACCATGTAGAATTTTGAATTTTCCATAAAACGAACAGAGAAGTATGGAAATAAGATCTTAATCCTAAATACATTTAATTAGGAGGAAGTTCCATTAATTTAATTTCCAACACACACAGGTAGCTTTCTTGTCAGTGATGGCAGATATCACAAATCAGTCTTGACCCTTTATTATGGAGAGGCCCTGTGTCTCTGAGATAGGGATAGGGATGTGGCCCTCCAGATGTTTTTAGACTACAAGGGCTATTGTTGGCCTGTTGGCTGGGACTGATGGGAGCTGGTACAACATCTGGATGGCTACGGGTTCCCCATCTCTGATTTAAAACTGCATACTGGGCAGAAATTGACAAGTGAAGCCATCTCTGTGAATAAGCACAGTTGCTTGCTTCCTTATGATAAATGAGCTTCTTCTTATGAGCAGCATTTATCATACTCTCCGTGAGCTACAGAGGCTTGTCCTCCAAGAAATGGGGTTGGAGACAGAGATCTGGTGCTTGTCCCCATAGTCCCTCCTTACATGGTTACTTAGCAGTAGTGGTTAAGAGCGGTAGACTCATAATCTGGTGAACTGAGTTCGCTCCTCCACATGCAGCTGCTGGGTGACCTTGGGCCAGTCACCCTTCTTTGAAGTCTCTCAGCCCCACTCACCTCACAGAGTGTTTGTTGTGGGGGAGGAAGGGAAAGGAGAATGTTAGACGCTTTGAGACTCCTTTGGATAGTGATAAAGCGGGATATCAAATCCAATCTCCTCCTCCACCACCTGAAGTGAGCTTTCTAGTCCATTGTTTTGATGCTCAAAAATGCATGATTACATTTATATCCCACTTGAAGGAGATCAGAGTGACACTATGGGGTTCTCCTCCCTATTTTTATCATCGTAATGACCTTGTGAAGTAGGCAAGCCTGAGGCTCTATGAATGGCCCAAGGTCAACCCACAAATATCTCCCACTTCAGACCTATGTAAATTGTGCTGTTGATCTAGTTCTGACACTAAACATATATATAAAAGTGTGTGTGTGTGTGTGTGGAGGATGGTGTGCAATTAGCTAGAGGCTAGAGGCTAGCAAAGGATTGAACGAAGAGGAATACAAAAGAGAAGACGCCCCCCCCCTTCCTCGCAACCAACCCCTCCTTTCTTTTTGGTAAGGAGAACTGAACTGAATAGAAGGGACAATGCATAGCAGAGGTGAAGTAGGTCTCAGGCACTCCGCCTTTTCATAAACAAGTGACCTAAAGAGATTCAAGAGCCCCAGACAGAAATAAATGTACTAATTAGAAATGTAGCTGTGGCACCATTCTATCGACAGCAGTCCCTGAAACCGGGTGGCTGGTGCGCAGCACTGATCCTGCATATGTTTGCTGCACTGAAAGGCTCTGGTATTCCCTCAACAGGTCACAATGCCATGCACAGAACTAGGCTGCAAAACTCTTGTTTCTTGAGCCCCCACCCACAAGTTCTATTATCTTGATTCTAAAAACAGCTGTTCTATCCCCCAAAGGAACAGAAAAGGGTGGAGATAATTCAATCCCACAAACATTAACAAGCTTTCAACCTTTCAACATCTTTTCTGAGATGAAGTAGAGAAACAGGGGACCCTGACATGCACAAATTTGTTGACTAACATTATTGAGCTAATTCAGCCACAAATAGAGGGCTGCAAGGCAAAATGTAGGTATGGCTAGGCCTGAAATATCTGTGTGGAGCATTGGAGCCAGTGTGGCATAGGGGTTAGAGTGTCCATCTAGGACCTGGGAGGCCAGGGTTCGAATTCCCACTTGGCACTGAAGCTCACTTAGGTCACCTTGGGCCAGTCACTCACTCCTAACTACCTCACAGGGTTCTTGTGGGGATAAAATGGGGAGGAGATGACCTATGTACACCACATTGAGCTCCTTGGAGAAAAGCTGGGATGTACATGTCATAAATAAATGGCTCAAAGACCCACGCTTTGACATTAAAAAAAAAAATGCCCAGGATTTTAACTGATTTTATATCTACTGCTTTTTGTATTTTTACTTTTGCAACGATAATTGCTTTTGTTTCTGATGTTTTAGATCTGTTTTATATTTGTTTTATGGCTCTCTTTTGTAGGCTGTCATGGAAATCTAGATTAATAACATTAAGTAAAAATAAATAAATAAATGGCACTGTTGCCGAACCTCAGTTAGCCTTCCTTTCCTCATCACGGCAATTATTCCCATTTCCTGATGGAGATTCAATAGCATATTTTCAGTCATTAAAATGTGTGTGCATTTTATAGTTATTGCTTGCTATGGTATTTAATAGCATCAGGTTAACCTACCAGATCTACAACTTCAGTGGCAAGAGTCTTTACACAGAGCTTCTAGCCTCCCTTTTAGTGCAGTGAGGTAATTTAGAGTCAAGTTGTGGATAATTTGCCATGTGGATCAGTTCAACTTTGGTGCTGTAGAATCTGGCTTTGTTATGCTCAGAGCAATCGTCTGAAAGATTTGCTGCAAATAATTTCCTTTTCACATAAAGATGAAGGAAGCCCTGACTGTTAGCTCCAGTTGCGGACGACTCTGGGGTTGTGGCACTCATCTCGCTTTACTGGCTGAGGGAGCCAGCATACAGCTTCCGGGTCATGTGGCTAGCATGACTAAGCCTCTTCTGGCAAACCAGAGCAGGGCACAGAAACACCATTTACCATCCTGCCAAAGAGGTACCTATTTATCTACTTGCACTTTGACATGCTTTCGAACTGCTACGTTGGCATGAGCAGGGACCGAGCAACGGGAGCTCACCCCGTCGCGGGGATTCAAACCACCGACCTTCTGATCAGCAAGCCCTAGGCTCAGTGGTTTAGACCACAGCGCCACCCGCCTCCCATACTTTTCACATAGTGCATAGTTAAACAGCGGAACTCACTCCCACAGGAGGCAGTAATGGCCAACAGCTCAGATGGTTTCAAAGGATTAATGGAGGATGTGGTTGTCAATGTCTCCTAGCTATGCTTCTAGATTCAGGTAGGTAGCCATGTTGGTCTGATGCAGTCAAAATAAATAAATAAATTGTCCAGTAGCACCTTAGAGACCAACTAAGTTTGTTCTTGGTATAAGCTTGTTCTT